TGCGACTTTCACTGCCCTGCGTCACAATCAGCCATTACCTTGCAGATAACTCAGCACCAAACACACTTTAAACAGGCTGCCCGACTAGGAGACGACATCAGACGCGCCACTGGTGCCGACTGTGAGATACGTGTTGTAAAGTCTGGAGCCAAGCACAAGGCGAGTCACGTGGACTCCAGCCCGGAAGGCGAGAAGGATCGACGGAACTCAGTTTGTCCGTCAGCGAGTTCTTTTCGCCCTGCCAAGTCAACTTCTGACCACCTCGAGCTTTGCCCCATTCTACATCTGGCAAACTAAACAAGGCCCTCCTCGGCAAGCAGTGACGGTGCATACGTAGTAGGTGTCCAAGCCATCTCGATAAACCGATCGCTAAGCACGCGTTTTCATTTCAAGAACTAGTAGTCTGGTTGCGGTACACATTAAACGCGAGTGAGTGAGCGACCAGGCGAAAACTGCCTATTGAAATAACAGACAGATAATTAGAATAACAATTATGGCAATTATATTCAGACGACGATAAAAACAATTGCGTGGACACACGTTGAAATCATGTAGTGTGTTGGGTGCGCTAAAGTGCAGTTGCTTCACAGGTCACGTAGGCTGCAAGCAATTGACACGGGTTTCGAAGAAACGCGAGGACTCTGCTGGGATTGATACTGGCCGCATGTCCATATGGTGCATGCAATAACGAAATGTAGCCTCCACACAACGGTTAATATCGCTAGTTGCCAGCTGTAGCTAATGAGTACATAGCATGCGTTTTGGGTGAAAAATTTAGATGTGGAACATACATGTTTCCACCAATGTTCGAAGGTTCTGGCCGAAAATGAACAGACCATTAGGCTGCCTTCGTGCAGTTAATCACACCGAAAAAATGGTCCAGATGGTTTTCACTAGGTTGGCTACAATGTGATCTGTGGATTCGGTAGAACAACTTTAGGCGAGGAAGCGCAGTGATCCTAGCTGTGACGAATGAACACCACGGACAGTCAGCAGAGCGCCCGAATTATATGTACGCAGAAATCCTTTTTATTAATTATGAGATTTAGTAAGCAATAACCAATATGAAATGAGTTCAAAAACGGTGATTGGTAGAGCTAAATATGCATGATCAGAAGCCTCAAGAGTGTATGTGAACGAGACTAACCTGAGCACTAGAGAAGCAGTAGCGAAGCAAGTCAGCAATAGATGGCTTTCGCGCAATTAACCACACACCATCGTCGTGATCAGTGGTACACCATAGCATTATATGGTTGCAGTGTGATGTATAATATTTAAAATACAACGAGCCATAAAGCAGCGGGGAGTCTGAAAATAACAAGCGCGTACTGAGTGACAGTGCTGCGCGATTGACGAGATAGTCACCACTCCACAGGTCAGCCTAGTCCGACAGACAGCTAGAACAAAAGGCACCCACAACTCACAGACTATGGACATGTCGGGAAGATACATGATGATATGCTGCAGAGTCCCACCTCGCGTTGTGTCCATACTACCCTGGAGAAGAATCTATGACCTGTCAATTCGTCAGCTCTCCAACAACCTTCAGCCAGTTGTCCAATGCATCGCTTTTTATTGTGTGCGTATATCCAAAGTGATAATAGAAGGAGTTGCAAAGAAATATGCATCGATTATGAACGACGGAACCACATGGCGCAAAGGTGTGAAAGAAAGTGAGTTTTAAATATGTACAGTAAACCTATAATCTTTCGAGTATGGGTCGGTTAAGTGGGGCATCGGGGCTCGCCACTGAAAAACTGTATGCCGCGCAGATAGATCGGGAGTACAAAGTGTACGCAGTAACCAACGAATGAGTCGCGAAAATCGCGTGTGTAAGATGAATTAAAGAGGAACTCATTTGGCATGCTCGCCGCGGCAGGACTTAGCACCGTACAAATGGTAATGAAACCTGACAAAATATGACTGCTTTCGCTGCATTGCAGGTGTAATTCGCAGGTCAAAAACCCAGAGTAATGCAAACGTACAAAGTAGTATAAGAATAACCCGCAACATAATGCTTGGAAAGCATGACTTTTTCTATGCGATAACCTTAGTTGCGAATGATGTAACATCCAGTAGCCCGGATATAGGCAGACGTCGAGGTGGCATTTGTCTAGTCCGAGCTGAGAAGACGGAGACAGTTGGAAGCTCGAGAAAAATGAGCCGCTTCTGACAGTGAGAGAAAATACCGAATACTAACTAGATGTCACCGTCTAGCTCAAAAGAAACAGCGTGCCACCAAGGGCATGGGCTACCGCCAAAATTGACCTGCAGATTACTCAGAAAACAAAGAAAAATTAAGAGGGCATCAGAAGTACGCCGGCACGTCGCAATGACGCTTCGTTGCCACGCAACCAGCACCAGTCACGCATGGGCCAGGTATATTGCAAGATCACCCGGTCCCTACGCGGGCTCGAATATTCGATCTGTGCACATGCCTTATGCTACTGGGAACCGGTCGAATACAGGTGCAGTCTACGTTACGGAAGAAAATGTTCAGCACCTGCTTGACTAGTCACAAAAAATCTCTCATGGAACTCCGTGGTCATATTCCCAAGTCAAGCGCTAAAAGTGGGAACCATGACACAAAACATCCCGTCTCGAAACGGGGACAAGTGGAGTGTGTCGTGCCCGTGGAACACGGGACCAACAGATTAGAGCGAACTAGTGCAACAATCAATGCAATAACCGATGGTGGGAAACAAAAGACCATCAACATCATCATGGTCATTATTAGTATTATTACACATCAGCTGAAGGTGAGAAACGCTTCAACTATTGTGTCGCGATACAAAAGTATAAGATGTAGAAAAAACAAGATAGTAAAGATTATAGAATAAAAAGGTAACAAATTGTTTAGCGACACATTACGCATCAAGACTGAGATCGTGGTTAGAAGAGGGAGATAAGTAAGATGTAGAGGGAGCAAGAAACACATAAACTAAACACCATTGAAGTCGACTCCTAGCCATGTCAAAATGTGATCTGAGGAGATAAGCTGCATGCCGCGATAACGGAACAAGCAATGAGCTACAAATGTTTAGTGGCTTGTTCCAAAGTAGTACCGCGTCTAATTGAATGAAAATGACGCTCAAAAAATCATAAAGAGTAAATGTCCCACACAGATAGAGCAACCCAAAGAGGAGGATATTCACATTTTGCCCCCTCCCCTAATAGAAAGAAAGGTAAGAGAGCGAACGTTACCGTCTGCTGACGATTCGTGGAGACGAACATGGAATCTACGCAACACACAAAAAGAAATAAGTAAGGATATGCTTGGTAATACTCAGCACCTACCCGGATCGGACACACAAGCTTGAAGACTAACGCATCAGTTGTGTGTCACATGGAACTAACTATCGGGCAGTAACTGACAGAGATGGAAATGGTGCGCCATGCGTGGAGTTTGTATCCGAAAAAGGGTTCTAGGCACCGTACGCAGAATGAACAGACATGAAAGAAAGGCATCCGCACCGCCACTGGTGATCAACACAGACTAAGCCCTAAATATGACACGAGTGGTATGCAGCTTGGTCATAGTAGACTATCGCAAAAAGCAGTGATCAGAATTCATACTATCCCAAGTGGTCTAGAAAAGATGAGCAATAAATCGCTGTGCAAAGTGAGCACCCGGCATGTGAAGAGATGAGCACTAGTAAGTAGGCGAAGCAAACGTAAGCCACTGTTTTCACGTATGTGCCAAAAATTAGTTTGAGTGTGTTCTCAGGACAGTAGAGAATATCTGGGTAGAGCCCCGTCACTCGACGACTAGATGCTTATAGCTTATTTTGTGACTGTGTGATTAGCTGGAAACTGTGAAATATGAGGAAGCGAACGCCAGTGGGGAAACGCTGTTGCTGTTGTTTCATGTTCATGAACTGTTCTCACACAAATCTGACACCAGTACGTACGCAGGTAAGAGATGTGATCGAGCTGGAATATCTACAGTCAATTAAAGCAGTATAAATCAGTTGCGTTCGCTTAGTAAACAGTTGCAATCATCGAGAGTGTAAAGAGCGAGAAAACGCGCGCTAACTATGACATAGTTCAATGGTTGGCTTGGGGAACTTGACTAGAACACACAGTGGACCCGGGATGTAGTGATTCGAATCCCGTTCCTGTCCGGATTCAGACGCCTTGATGAGCTTAGCAACCGCTTACAGTCGCGCATCGCAAAGTCAATAAAACGTACGGGTCTACTACTGCCACTGATAACAGCGAACTAAGTGTGTGTGTGAGGGAGAGAAAAAGAGGATGGTTGGCGAATATTGTGTGCCTATTCTCTTTGGGAACCACAATCGAATGTGTAATCAAAAGAACGTGCTCTGTGAACAGCAATTTCAACGGTAACTGCTCATACAGTGCTTCAGTGAAGCGTATGACAAGCGAAAAGCACCCGGTGCTACATATCTCTCAGATAGCAGTTGAATGCAGTGATGGGGGGATAAACCAAGTGACAAATATCATGGGCACCCAAAACACCTCACATAATGCTGCTGCACTACGATCCGAAAGAAAACGACATAGAGAGAACCAAAAATGGCTTTGCAAACTAGATGAATGCCGCACATGCATCACTGAGAATAACCAACAGCATAAATCACAGAAGTATTTCACACCTAAACGTATCATGAATGGTGGGAGAGAAAGCTGCTGTTGCCGTGAAGGTGTGCACATTAATAGAACGTAAGAGAGTAAGTTTTTGCTAGCGCTAACAAGACAGTGCTGTGGGAGCAATGTGTGGGAGGTTGCCTTTCAAGGCGCATCCAGGCATCCCTAATAGTGTGTTCACCATGGTCAAATTGCCCACGTGACTCGATCAGGCCACCCACTGCGCAACAGTTTCCGCAACGTGTGATGAATGGCATGTGACGAATCCGTGGTAGTAAACAAACCACCAACGGTTAAGCGCGTATTCGCAAACAGCAGAACACAGTTTAAGATAATCGTGATCGGCAAAATGGTGAACAATGCGCACTTCTGAACAGAAACACACTCACCAGATGCAAGCGAGCCAATGAGCGATTAAGGCAAACAGTGCTGTGAGCAGGAGCAAAATGGAAGCACCATATTCGGAATACCGATCCAACTTGCGGACGATTCCAACCAACCGTAACAGGCGAGCGGACTTGAGCAAGCTGGTCAATGTGGTGTGCTTTGTATGTGCGAGAGAGGGAACAGAAGAGCAGATGAAAACAGATGAGCACATCTAACCAACAAGAGTACGAAGTGAGATGTCACCAAGGACATTGCGGGGTCCGGAGGTCGCGTGTCAACATCTGAGACTCCAAACGTTGGGTAGCTACATTCGAAGTATGGGAAATTGATAAAAGAGTACACACTTTCCAAACAGACGAGGTCACTGACAAATTAGACAAACAGACATGATAGGGTGGTGGCCCGATAAGAATAACAGACCAATCTGTTTGAGTAACAGCGAGAAGTGCATAAAGACGCTAAAATGAAGCAAAATAAGAACGAATAAGGAAAGGAAACCGAGTTAAAGTTATCCCCAAAACGATGAGCCCGTCAGCCAATGATTAGGTACAGCCGAACAACCATCTTCCGGGCATCAAAGTGTGTGGACAAGTGCAACAGTCAAAGTCAATACACCAAAAGTGCCAGGGGAATAAGGAAAAGCAAGAAAAGCACAAATAAAAGTGGTTACCGGCAAAGAAGACGGAAGAAGTGCGAATTTTTCAACTGTTGTACACTGTGCGTTATCGATATGCCCCATGGACCTGAAACCAGTTAGAGAAAAAACGCCAATCGAGCTCAAAATTTGGATTTAATCCGTCAAGATGATTCGAATGATGATGTACGGGGAAGGGGGACATAGATAAAAATGCGACTGTAAGCGAGTGGCTCAGTTACCTGGTCTGGAGTTCAACAGAACACCAGATCGGTAGATAAGAATGTAGGAATTTCCGACGAGCAATTGCAACTATAAAAAGATGAAGTCACAACACATTAAAACACTGAATTTTCCGAACGGTTTTCCCGAGTGAAGCAATGAAGTGGCCTACTGATGGTGTGACGATGAGAATCCTCTTCATAAACCAGAATGTTGATCAAATCATTACTGCAACGTAAAAAACACTTGCTGTATCTGAAGTGGTAAAACTAGAACAGCGGATGAGCAATACAACAATAATTTCTCAAGAATCCGAAGCACAGCATATGCTACACACACACACACACAGTGAAAGCCGAACGTGCCATCAAAACAATGGCCACAAAAGTGCCCACTGGGGAGAACATCCCCTTCAGGTGGCGATCTTAAAAATTTGTCCGTGTGAACAAGTGGCTTAGTTTGGCCTTTTGCAATATCTGATTTGCTTGGGTGCACCTAATTGTTAGAAGTCCCCAGAGTTATAAAAACTCAAGTGAGCTAAACGAACTGATGGAACCTATTAATACAGTTTGTGGGAAAGAGAAAAGCTGACCAGCTTCATTCAGTACCTAAACAAAATAAGGCTAAAGCGTCACATTGAGATATGGATTGAATTCGTTTAGCTACCGGAAAGACTTCTATGTGTTAACTGGACAAGCTGATGAGTTGCAGGGGAGAGCAACACCGTACAGACCGCAGCAGTAATATTTTTCTGGAATGTATCCACGGAATCTTGACCCCTGAACATCAACGCGTACAAGAGTATAGTGCAATCCGCGGACGAATAATAGAGATGCGGCAAGAAAAACCGCATGTGCAATATGCTAGCATTCGTCATGAGTGACCCGAATCAATATTTTGTCATCAGAGGTACAACAAGAACTAGGGAGATAGGAATGGAGACATAAAGTGTAAACGCAGTGAGTCACTGAATCGAGATGTCTAATCGACAGAACAAGTAGTCGGTCTTGCGTGATCGCGATTGTGAATCGCGTTGGCCTGTGGCCAAGGTAAGCAGAGAATGGATGACGTTATTTATGACCTGACAGGTTCAGGTTTTAGAGTTGAATTACGATCGCGTCTGCTGTCGACAGCAGACCACCAGTGTGTGGCGTTCGGGTACGTAACAGATCGGCTGGACTGCATCATGCGAATTAATGTAATGATTAGAGCCCACTAACTGTAACATCGTACTGGTCGCATAAGTTCTTACACCGCTACGGAAGAAAACTGAACAATATTGTCGAGCTTTTACGGTGAGTCTGTTGGTCATTTTCTTAATATACGTTGCTCGACACGACACTGTGCGCACAAAGGAAATCTGCGACCCAAGTGCGTTGTGCCTGAGTTGTTGGTGCACAACTGGTGCTGAGGCGTCGTACAATTTCTGTCTACTTCGGACACAGGTCAGCGCAACTAAACAGTGGCGATCACGCCACTTCCCCGTCTGCATTCTAACCAGACGAATCAGGTAATCCTATTGACTAAATGTTTCGATTCACTGACTCACTACGTTTAAAACTCACGTGTCTATACTAGTCCCTGGATCCGTGTGATGAGGAAACAATGAAAACGAGCATGTTCGCAACCTCTTGCATCTGACATTTTCACCGGGAATTATTTCTGTACTGAATCACTTGTCTTTTAGCTGGCGCAGCTTGAGTGTACCTAATGACAAATCCAGTCGATGCCAGTACCCGAACAAGAGAGCTGTGAACTAAGAGATGATCACTCAGAGCACAGGTTTGCAACCGCATCGGACAAACTGGGGGTGCAGTGCCCGCATACTCTGGGAAAAATCAACCAGCAACCCAGAATACTGCGACAGACCCTGCCCGAGTGGTATTCGCCGGGGTAGGAGTGAGCATGTTATCTGGTAATCTTTAGGTCCTAAGTTACAGCCCGAGCTCAGCGCTATCGCTACCCAAACAGGTGCCAAATCAGTCGCAGAGTGCAGAATTTTGGGCGGGTGCACGAAAAGAAAAGTTACGATATGACAGGTGGATGGAAAAGCCAGTCGCACAACGCAAGAAATCGAGTATGCGACAGCGTCACTGACTATGTTTCGGTTCGCATATCTGATCAGAGGTGTGATCTGTCCGGGAACGTCATCAGGACTAATACTTGAAAGTAACGTGTTCATGGTAGAATGCAACAAATATTCACCGTTATAACTAGGAAGATGCTTCAACAGGTACACAGAATAATTTGTCTGCTCCATACTGGAAACAAGGAACAGAGACAGTATCACAAATTGAAACTAGTAGAAAGTCCGCTTGCCAGCAACCATGGTGCACGTGGTGAGCACAGCACTCACTGCGTGTGTCAAACCAGGTCAGTACTGAGTGCATAGGGTCACAGAGTAAACGCGTGAATAGAAGTAGAAGTCATGCCTCGGTCACCAATGCGTACAAATAAGGCTGCGTCAAAACCAACTGAGATAGAAAACAACAGGATGCTAAAGCAAGGTCTGTTAAGAGTTCATGAAACCCCAGTGGCCAACAGGGGTAGACAGGAAAGGGTAACTCAGTACAATGAACATGCGGTGTTAGAAAAATAGCCATCTGAGAAGCAAAACATCGAGACACGGAATATCACAATGAGATGAAGACTGGTGGATAAGGAAGCGTTAAGTTGGAATCGGAAGTCCCATGAGAAAAAAGGAGTGTAGACATACATGAGCATGAAGTGGCCGTTTTAACGTGAGTTCAAAGTATTCACGCAAGCGTTTGTAGTAAATCTGCAACGGTTGCTAAGAAAGGCAGCAAAGGGGCACGCAAGCTCTTTCAGCAGGGTGTGGCAACAGGAAAAAGGAGAGCAAGCGCGTGGAAAAAGAAGGGGCTAGTAAATGATAAGTGTGACAAAAGATGTCTGAGTTCAACAAGTTTCAAAAATCTGGCCAAGCAAGATAAGGACTGCTTTACCCGAATTGGAGTGCAGTATTACCAGTAACAGAGAGGAAAGTCTAGCGACTGATTTAGCAAGTATGAAGGCACCGGGCGTTGAAGATTCCTGTTCTATACAAACAATGCGGTGATCAGTCACTAGTGTCCCAGGAGTGCGGTTATTTGCACTACTCAGTGGTTTTTACTGGGCGGCAATAATGAAAGAACCGCGGAAATCACGTGGCCCAAAATGATGCGAGAAATGGAGACGGTCACCGTTGCATAGCTTAATCAAGTGGCATACTAGGGCGGATGTTACGAGATGAACCGAAATTGCAATACAGCTGTCTTGTCGACGCCCTCTCATCGTCACGCCTGTCTTTACTCGAAACCACTACGAATATAATGGCACCGCAGCATCGATAAGCATTCCATTGATCTTCATCTATCTTTCGATACAACTAGGTCTGACTGATGAAGTGCAATTGCTTGAAATCGAAGACATGGGTGTTCCGTTGCTCAGGTTAGTTGCCAAAAGAAAATCAAAAGGGAGAATCGAAACTAAGTCCTGCGCAGAGTACCAAGTGAGCCATGACGAAATGTCATTGGAAAGTTGATGTGTGGGAGAAACTACTTGTTAGTTGGTTTAGAAGCATTAGTTGTGGATAGAATACGACAGAAAGTGAGTTTAAATCACAATTCGATTTGAAATGAATTCTGATCACTGTGGTCAAAAGGGCTGAATTTGAAGTACAAAAACGCTATGGCGGTGTCCGCTCCAAAACGCTACGCTCAATGACCAACTTCGTGTTGATCAGCATTCTGCAGGCGTTATTCGATGGGCTCAGGGTTGTAAAGATAAAGGCATCAAGTGGTATTGCCCAGGTTCTGCGTCTCATTCACGAATAGGGTACGACCACCAGAAAAGTGTAGTGATGACCACCGAAGCAATGATAGGGTGCAGTCAGCAGAATGTAACCCTAAACAATGAGGAGCAGATGTTTCACTTTATACAACCGTTAGTGGTGTTTCAAGCATATGGGAATCGGTCTCGCAGTTTCCAAGAAAGCAAAACAACTGGAGAAATGAGAGTTGGATTTTGGAGTACTATCCGCGTGTGTGGATTACAGTATGCAATCTCAATTAAAGACTCGATTGAGTCCGAAGGAAAACTGGCATTTAGATCCCTGGGACTATGTTCAAACGTGAGGGTTTGAATGATACATCACAGCGCTACACAACCAAAGAGATAGGTTAAGGGTAAGCCATTAGGCACATGAGTGACTGGATGCGAGAAAATATCATCGATAAGCCACATGAAAGAGGCCAACCAAAGATATGGCTTTTACACCACACACACACACACACACACACACA